CTACTCTTTATACTTGGGGAGTGAATCCTACCCCAAGTTATTAACAAATAAAGGTACAAACAGGGAACACGGCAATAATTATCTCCACCAAATACCTACTCAACTAAATGTACTTGAAAAAGTAAGAACATTTGAAATAAGTGAATTACAAAAGGGAAGATAATTAATTAATTCAATTTATGTTTTAAAGGGAGTAATGATTAGCAAACATGAATTTAAGTGAATAAGTAATTGTATAATAAAATAAGAGTGATGCCGGAAGGGCGAAACTATACTGTAAGGAGTTAGACCAAACAAATATTACTTAACATTACTATATTACACAAGACATACGAAATATATATATACAACAATCAATACAAAACGATTATCCCTACCAAGCAGGAGATACCTTACCACCAGGATCCCTTCCTAGGCCTAACTAAACGTGTCACTAATACCTGATACCCCTAGGGCATTGCAGAAGACTTGATAAAGCACTTAGACAAAGGTCAAGGCTAGAGAACGAATAGACACGTCTAACCTATGCCACGGATTTTCGCTACTGGGGAGCGTGGCGTGGGTACGCCGTGGAGGAGCGTCTCATATCACGTGATCTAGACATTTGCTGGATATTTTATATAATTAATTAATATTACTCTTGAGTTGACTTAACAGAGTAAGACAATGATGCATATAAATTACATACATAAATATACAATCAACCTAAGTAACTAAGAACAATAATAATATAATAAGTACAATTAACAAATTATTAGTAGCTTGTGTGAAATGGAAGCGTGAACAGATGCAGCGAGTTGCCGAGCGCTCAGGCACGTGACACCTCCCCCCAAAAAAGTGAGCTTACAACTAACTGGAAGCGAAAATGGATATACAGCTACACAGTGAAAGTAACAACTAACACAATCGGTTTAAATCAATATGAAGCAAAATAATTCATAATATAAACACAAGGTACTCAATGACAATAAAAAAAAATAATAATTTGCATATAGACATAGTTACTAATTAATCAGACTCGAGAAAGTGCATCAGCCAACACGTTCTCTTTTCCGCGGATATGGGAAATGTTCAAGTTATATGGCTGAAGTGATAGAGCCCACCTCAAAAGTCTTTGGTTGGTATGTTTCATCTTGTCAACAAAAGTAAGTGGGTTATGATCAGTGAACACTTGAATGGGATAAGCAGTGCTGCCAATATATACTTTGAAGTTTTCTAGTGCCATGATCAGTGATAAAGCCTCCTTTTCAATGGTGGCATAGTTTCCAGGGCTGTGGAGTCGAAGACAAAACCTTCGACTCCGACTCCTCAAATTTTTATGCTTCCGACTCCGACTCCGACTCCGACTCCTTGGCCTATTTGTAACAACTATTTCTACCATCCTAATTGTAATTTGTATGTTGTAACCTGCATAGGTAAAAAGTAAAACACCGTGGCTATACTGCTACAGCTTTATTAATGATCTGGATGGTATTTAAGAACTACAAAAAGATGATAGGCTTGACTTTCAAAGTTTCAATCAAAAGGAAAATAAATTTATTAAGAATTCAAGATATTAACTAGAAAACACCATTTACATGTATATCTAAAAGTTCGATCTCAGCATATGAATTTTTTTTAAGCTCATAATCTGATGTGGATCTAAATGATGATCCTACAATTCCTTTTAAAGTAAAGTTATATATTTATGTACATTAAAGAAATGAATACCTTATTAAGGAAAATGGATAAACCTTACATGATAAAGTTATTAAATTAAATTTGCCTCAATCTCACCAAAAACAGGTTGTAGCTAATTGTTTTGTAGCTGAGAGCCTCTGTGCAGTTTTCAACGAAACTAAATTTGATATAATTCAAAATTTCAAATGGTAAAGAAGAGACTATCGTCCAAAATTATAGTGCTATACTGTGCCTGCTACAATAAATTCATAATAATGCTTATAAAATGGAAATAAATTCTTTTAATAATTTAAGAAAATTAGTGGGATCAGTGGAATCACTGCAATGAATATGCCTGAGTTCATATATTTGTTCTTAGGAACAGAATAGCTTCAGTCGGAGTCGGAGTCGGAGTCTGGACAATTTTACCGACTCCGACTCCTCGACTCCGACTCCAACTCCAACTCCACAGCCCTGCTAAAGACAAAAAGTAATTGCAGACTTCAACAATTATAATCTTTACATTCTATTCTCCTGTACCATATATCTCATTTTCCATACTGAGATATGTTTTGACAACGCTAAAGCAATACTATAATAATGATTAACATGTTTGTGTTACAGGGGCGCGGGTGAGAGTGACGGCACTATCTATGGGGACTATGACGAGGCAGCATGGCACGGTCAGGAGGGACACCCCTGCCCCATCAACTACCCGCTCTGTGCCTTCACCGCTCACCAGGTTATGGACGAGTACCGCAATTACGTCACGAACAACGAAACTTTTGTATAGACAACCGATAAATGTATAAAAAATATATGATTTGACGTTGATGAATACCATGAAATGTGATTAATTACATGGACAATAAAGCCTGTAATATACTATATGAAACACACAATTTCTATTACACCTCATTTTATGAAAACTATATTTTTTATATTGCTCGTTACACAATATATTATATTTTTCCCGGGTAATTATTGATGACTAACCTACCGCAGATTTTTCATAGAAAACACTTTTAAAAATGCCACAATTTCACTGTGTTTTATAGTGGACACTCGTATTTTTGGCAAATGTGTTAAAAATTGGTTATTTCTTTAAATTTAACCTAACCTTAGTTGATAAGAAAATATGCAGCAGAAGCGTTCTTAAAGACCTCACCAATCACATCAAAGTAACCTACCTAACCTTACCTAACTTCCTAGCCACGAGGCTCCACCCTCAAGACCCCTATATATTAAACAGAAAGAACTTACTGTACGGTATAATTTTTCTTGTGGACGTGAGAGCAGCCGCCCAGTCCAAGCGGCTTATAACGTACACCGAGGCGCTAGACTAGCCGGAGTCTTGCGGCTAGAGCCCAGCTGTAGGCATTCATAGAAAACGGGAAATTTGTATCATAACAAATGGGAAATATCTACTTTCCGGAGAAGTTGGTTATCTACTTTCCCGAAAAGTAGAAAATCTATCTACTTTTCGGGAAAGTAGATTATCGACTTTTTGGGGAAGTAGATTTTCGACTTTTGGGGGAAATATTACCTAATTTTGCGAAGTAGATAATCATAGAAAACGGGAAATTTGTATCATAAAAAATGGGAAATGTCTACTTTCCGGGAAAGTTGGTTATCTACTTTCCCGAAAAGTAGACAGATTTTCTACTTTTTGGGAAAGTAGATTATCGACTTTTCAGGGAAGTAGATTTTCGAATTTTGGGGGAAATATTACCTAATTTTGCGAAGTAGATTATCATAGAAAACGGGAAATTTGTATCATAAAAAATGGGAAATATCTACTTTCCGGGAAAGTTGGTTATCTACTTCCCGAAAAGTAGACAGATTTTCTACTTCTCGGGAAAGTAGATTATCGACTTTTCGTGGAAGTAGATTTTCGAATTTTGGGGGAAATATTACCTAATTTTGCGAAGTAGATTATCATAGAAAACGGGAAATTTGTATCATAAAAAATGGGAAATATCTACTTTCCGGGAAAGTTGGTTATCTACTTTCCCGAAAAGTCGATAGATTTTCAGAAAATTCCCAAAAATTTTCTAAAATTTTACAAAAATTTTCAGAAATTTTCAGAAAATTTTCCAAAATTTTCAGAAAATTCCCAAAAATTTTCCAAAATTTTCAGAAATTTTTCCAAAATTTTAGAAATTTTTCCAAAATTTTCCCAAATTTTCCGAAAAATTTCAGAAAATTCCCAAAAATTTTCCCAAATTTTCCGAAAATTTTCCCAAATTTTCCAAAAATTTTCCCAAATTTTCCGAAATTTTTCCAAAATTTCCGAATTTTTTCAAAAATTTTCCAAAATTTTCCAAAAAATTTCTCAAATTTTCAGAAAATTTTCCAAAAATTTCCGGAATTTTTTCAAAAATTTTCCAAAAATTTTCTCAAATTCTCAGAAAATTTTCCAAAAATTTCCGAAACTTTTCCCAAATTTTCCAAAAATTTTCCGAAAATTTTCCAAAAATTTTCCAAAAATATCCAAAATTTTCCGAAAATTTTCCCAAATTTTCAAAAAATTTTCAGAAAATTTCCAAAAATTTTCTGAATTTTTCCCAAAAATTTCAGAAAATTTCCAAAATTTTTCCAAAATGTTCCGAAATTTTTCCAAAATATTCCGAAATTTTTCTAAAATTTTTCCAAAATTTTCCGAAATTTTTCCAATATTTTCAGAAAATTTTCAGAAAATTCCCAAAAATTTTCGAAAATTTTCCGAAAAGTTTCCAAAATTTTCCAAAAATGTTCCCAAATTTTCAGAAAATTTTCAGAAAATTCCCAAAAAATTTCAGAAATTTTCAGAAAATTGTCCAGAATTTTCCAAAAATTTCTCCCAAATTTTCCGAAAATTTCCCAAATTTTCAGAAAATTTCCCAAATTTTCAGAAAATTTCCCAAATTTTCAGAAAATTTCCCAAATTTTCAGAAAATTTCCCAAATTTTCAGAAAATTTCCCAAATTTTCAGAAAATTTCCCAAATTTTCAGAAAATTTCCAAAATTTTCAGAAAATTTTCCAAAAATTTACAGAAATTTTCCAAAAATTTTCGAAATTTTCCAAAATTTTCCGAAATTTTCCAAAAATTATCCCAAAATTTTCCCTAATTTTCCGAATTTTTCCAAAATTTTCCAAAAAATTCCCAAAATTTTCCAAAAATTTCCCAAATTTTTCCAAAAATGTGGAAAATCTGGGGAAATTTTTGAAAAATCTGGGGAAATTTCTGAAAAATCTAGAGAATTTTTTGGAAAATCTGGGGTGTCACGATCCCACTACCCTTTAAACTTGGGGAGAGAATCCTACCCCAAGTTATTAACAAATAAAGGTACAAATAGGGAACACGGCAATAATTATCCTCACCAAAAACCTACTCAACTAAATACTTGAAAAAGTAAGAACAGTTGAAATAAGTGAATCACAACAGGGAAGATAATTAATTAATTCAATTTATGTTCTAAAGGGAGTAATGACTAGCAAACATGAATTTAAGGGAATAAGTAAGTGTATAATAAAATAAGAGTGATGCCGGAAGGGCGAAAATATGCTGTAAGGAGTTAGACCAAACAAATATTACTTAACATTACTATATTACACAAGACATACGAAATATATATATACAACAATCACTACAAAATGAATATCCCTACCAAACAGGAGATACCTTACCACCAGGATCCCTTCCTAGGCCTAAGTAAACGTGTCACTAATACCTGATACCCCTAGGGCATTGCAGAAGACTTGATAAAGCACTAGACAAGGGTCAAGGCTAGAGAACGAATGGACACGTCTAACCTATGCCACGGGTTTTTCGCTACTAGGGTGGCGTGGGTACGCCGAGGAGCGCGTCTCACGTGATCCAGACATTTGCTAGATATTTTATATAATTAATTAATACTCTCTTGATTTGAACTTAACAGAGTAAGACAATGATGCATATTAATAACATACATAAATATACAATTAACCTAAGTAACTAAGAACAATAATAATATAATAAGTACAATTAACAAATTATTAGTAGCTTGTGTGAAATGGAAGCGTGAACATCTGCCTCACGCTATGCGAGTTCCCGAGCGCCACAGGCACGTGACACCTCCCCCAAAATAGTGAGCTTGCAACTAACTGGAAGCGAAAATGGATATACAGCTACACAGTGAAAGTAACAACTAACACAATCGGTTTAAATCAATATGAAGCAAAATAATTCATAATATAAACACAAGGTACTCAATGACAATAAAAAAAAAAATAATTTGCATATAGACATAGTTACTAATTAATCAGACTCGAGAAAGTGCATCAGCCAACACGTTCTCTTTTCCGCGGATATGGGAAATGTTCAAGTTATAGGGCTGAAGTGATAGAGCCCACCTCAAAAGTCTTTGGTTGGTATGTTTCATCTTGTCAACAAAAGTAAGTGGGTTATGATCAGTGAACACTTGAATGGGATAAGCAGTGCTGCCAATATATACTTTGAAGTTTTCTAGTGCCATGATCAGTGATAAAGCCTCCTTTTCAATGGTGGCATAGTTTCCAGGGCTGTGGAGTCGAAGACAAAACCTTCGACTCCGACTCCTCAAATTTTTATGCTTCCGACTCCGACTCCGACTCCGACTCCGACTCCTTGGCCTATTTGTAACAACTATTTCTACCATCCTAATTGTAATTTGTATGTTGTAACCTGCATAGGTAAAAAGTAAAACACCGTGGCTATACTGCTACAGCTTTATTAATGATCTGGACGATATTTAAGAACTACAAAAAGATGATAGGCTTGACTTTCAAAGTTTCAATCAAAAGAAAAATAAATTTATTAAGAATTCAAGATATTAACTAGAAAACACCATTTACATGTATATCTAAAAGTTCGATCTCAGCATATGAATTTTGTTTAAGCTCATAATCTGATGTGGATCTAAATGATGATCCTACAATTCCTTTTAAAGTAAAGTTATATATTTATGTACATTAAAGAAATGAATACCTTATTAAGGAAAATGGATAAACCTTACATGATTAAGTTATTAAATTAAATTTGCCTTAATCTCACCAAAAACAGGTTGTAGCTAATTATTTTGCAGCTGAGAGCCTCTGTGCAGTTTTCAACGAAACAAAATTTGATATAATTCAAAATTTCAAATGGTAAAGAAGAGACTATCGTCCAAAATTATAGTGCTATACTGTGCCTGCTACAATAAATTCATAATAATGCTTATAAAATGGAAATAAATTCTTTTAATAATTTAAGAAAATTAGTGGGATCAGTGGAATCACTGCAATGAATATGCCTGAGTTCATATATTTGTTCTTAGGAACAGAATAGCTTCAGTCGGAGTCGGAGTCTGGACAATTTTACCGACTCCGACTCCGACTCCACAAGCCGAAATTTCCTCCGACTCCTCGACTCCGACTCCGACTCCACAGCCCTGCTAAAGACAAAAAGTAATTGCAGACTTCAACAATTATAATCTTTACATTCTATTCTCCTGTACCATATAACTCATTTCCCATACTGAGATATGTTTTGACAACGCTAAAGCAATACTATAATAATGATTAACATGTTTGTGTTACAGGGGCGCGGGTGAGAGTGACGGCACTATCTATGGGGACTATGACGAGGCAGCATGGCACGGTCAGGAGGGACACCCCCCATCAACTACCCGCTCTGTGCCTTCACCGCTCACCAGGTTATGGACGAGTACCGCAAATACGTCACGAACAACGAAACTTTTGTATAGACAACCGATAAATGTATAAAAAATATATGATTTGACGTTGATGAATACCATGAAATGTGATTAATTACATGGACAATAAAGCCTGTAATATACTATATGAAACACACAATTTCTATTACACCTCATTTTATGAAAACTATATTTTTTATATTGCTCGTTACACAATATATTATATTTTTCCCGGGTAATTATTGATGACTAACCTACCGCAGATTTTTCATAGAAAACACTTTTAAAAATGCCACAATTTCACTGTGTTTTATAGTGGACACTCGTATTTTTGGCAAATGTGTTAAAAATTGGTTATTTCTTTAAATTTAACCTAACCTTAGTTGATAAGAAAATAAGCAGCAGAAGCGTTCTTAAAGACCTCACCAATCACATCAAAGTAACCTACCTAACCTTACCTAACTTCCTAGCCACGAGGCTCCACCCTCAAGACCCTATATATTAAACAGAAAAAACTTACTGTACGGTATAATTTTTCTTGTGGACGTGAGAGCAGCCACCCAGTCCAAGCGGCTTATAACGTACACCGAGGCGCTAGACTAGCCGGAGTCTTGCGGCTAGAGCCCAGCTGTAGGCATTCATAGAAAACGGGAAATTTGTATCATAACAAATGGGAAATATCTACTTTCCGGAGAAGTTGGTTATCTACTTTCCCGAAAAGTAGAAAATCTATCTACTTTTCGGGAAAGTAGATTATCGACTTTTTGGGGAAGTAGATTTTCGACTTTTGGGGGAAATATTACCTAATTTTGCGAAGTAGATAATCATAGAAAACGGGAAATTTGTATCATAAAAAATGGGAAATGTCTACTTTCCGGGAAAGTTGGTTATCTACTTTCCCGAAAAGTAGACAGATTTTCTACTTTTTGGGAAAGTAGATTATCGACTTTTCAGGAAAGTAGATTTTCGAATTTTGGGGGAAATATTACCTAATTTTGCGAAGTAGATTATCATAGAAAACGGGAAATTTGTATCATAAAAAATGGGAAATATCTACTTTCCGGGAAAGTTGGTTGTCTACTTCCCGAAAAGTAGACAGATTTTCTACTTCTCGGGAAAGTAGATTATCGACTTTTCGTGGAAGTAGATTTTCGAATTTTGGGGGAAATATTACCTAATTTTGCGAAGTAGATTATCATAGAAAACGGGAAATTTGTATCATAAAAAATGGGAAATATCTACTTTCCGGGAAAGTTGGTTATCTACTTTCCCGAAAAGTCGATAGATTTTCAGAAAATTCCCAAAAATTTTCTAAAATTTTACAAAAATTTTCAGAAATTTTCAGAAAATTTTCCAAAATTTTCAGAAAATTCCCAAAAATTTTCCAAAATTTTCAGAAATTTTTCCAAAATTTTAGAAATTTTTCCAAAATTTTCCCAAATTTTCCGAAAAATTTCAGAAAATTCCCAAAAATTTTCCCAAATTTTCCGAAAATTTTCCCAAATTTTCCGAAAATTTTCCCAAATTTTCCAATAATTTTCCCAAATTTTCCGAAATTTTTCAGAAAATTTTCAGAAAATTCCCAAAAATTTTCAGAAATTTTCAGAAAATTGTCCAGAATTTTCCAAAAATTTCTCCCAAATTTTCCGAAAATTTCCCAAATTTTCAGAAAATTTCCCAAATTTTCAGAAAATTTTCCAAAAATTTACAGAAATTTTCCAAAAATTTTCGAAATTTTCCAAAATTTTCCGAAATTTTCCAAAAATTATCCCAAAATTTTCCCTAATTTTCCGAATTTTTCCAAAATTTTCCAAAAAATTCCCAACATTTTCCAAAAATTTCCGAAATTTTTCCAAAAATTTCCGAAATTTTTCCAAAATTTTCCAAAAAATTTCCCAAATTTTTCCAAAAATGTGGAAAATCTGGGGAAATTTTTGAAAAATCTGGGGAAATTTCTGAAAAATCTAGAGAATTTTTTGGAAAATCTGGGGTGTCACGATCCCACTACCCTTTAAACTTGGGGAGAGAATCCTACCCCAAGTTATTAACAAATAAAGGTACAAATAGGGAACACGGCAATAATTATCCTCACCAAAAACCTACTCAACTAAATACTTGAAAAAGTAAGAACAGTTGAAATAAGTGAATCACAAAAGGGAAGATAATTAATTAATTCAATTTATGTTCTAAAGGGAGTAATGACTAGCAAACATGAATTTAAGGGAATAAGTAAGTGTATAATAAAATAAGAGTGATGCCGGAAGGGCGAAAATATGCTGTAAGGAGTTAGACCAAACAAATATTACTTAACATTACTATATTACACAAGATATACGAAATATATATATACAACAATCACTACAAAATGATTATCCCTACCAAACAGGAGATACCTTACCACCAGGATCCCTTCCTAGGCCTAACTAAACGTGTCACTAATACCTGATACCCCTAGGGCATTGCAGAAGACTTGATAAAGCACTAGACAAGGGTCAAGGCTAGAGAACGAATGGACACGTCTAACCTATGCCACGGGTTTTTCGCTACTAGGGTGGCGTGGGTACGCCGAGGAGCGCGTCTCACGTGATCCAGACATTTGCTAGATATTTTATATAATTAATTTATACTCTCTTGATTTGAACTTAACAGAGTAAGACAATGATGCATATTAATAACATACATAAATATACAATTAACCTAAGTAACTAAGAACAATAATAATATAATAAGTACAATTAACAAATTATTAGTAGCTTGTGTGAAATGGAAGCGTGAACATCTGCCTCACGCTATGCGAGTTCCCGAGCGCCACAGGCACGTGACACCTCCCCCAAAATAGTGAGCTTGCAACTAACTGGAAGCGAAAATGGATATACAGCTACACAGTGAAAGTAACAACTAACACAATCGGTTTAAATCAATATGAAGCAAAATAATTCATAATATAAACACAAGGTACTCAATGACAATAAAAAAAAATAATAATTTGCATATAGACATAGTTACTAATTAATCAGACTCGAGAAAGTGCATCAGCCAACACGTTCTCTTTTCCGCGGATATGGGAAATGTTCAAGTTATATGGCTGAAGTGATAGAGCCCACCTCAAAAGTCTTTGGTTGGTATGTTTCATCTTGTCAACAAAAGTAAGTGGGTTATGATCAGTGAACACTTGAATGGGATAAGCAGTGCTGCCAATATATACTTTGAAGTTTTCTAGTGCCATGATCAGTGATAAAGCCTCCTTTTCAATGGTGGCATAGTTTCCAGGGCTGTGGAGTCGAAGACAAAACCTTCGACTCCGACTCCTCAAATTTTTATGCTTCCGACTCCGACTCCGACTCCGACTCCGACTCCTTGGCCTATTAACAACTATTTCTACCATCCTAATTGTAATTTGTATGTTGTAACCTGCATAGGTAAAAAGTAAAACACCGTGGCTATACTGCTACAGCTTTATTAATGATCTGGGCGATATTTAAGAACTACAAAAAGATGATAGGCTTGACTTTCAAAGTTTCAATCAAAAGAAAAATAAATTTATTAAGAATTCAAGATATTAACTAGAAAACACCATTTACATGTATATCTAAAAGTTCGATCTCAGCATATGAATTTTGTTTAAGCTCATAATCTGATGTGGATCTAAATGATGATCCTACAATTCCTTTTAAAGTAAAGTTATATATTTATGTACATTAAAGAAATGAATACCTTATTAAGGAAAATGGATAAACCTTACATGATTAAGTTATTAAATTAAATTTGCCTTAATCTCACCAAAAACAGGTTGTAGCTAATTGTTTTGTAGCTGAGAGCCTCTGTGCAGTTTTCAGCGAAACAAAATTTGATATAATTCAAAATTTCAAATGGTAAAGAAGAGACTATCGTCCAAAATTATAGTGCTATACTGTGCCTGCTACAATAAATTCATAATAATGCTTATAAAATGGAAATAAATTCTTTTAATAATTTAAGAAAATTAGTGGGATCAGTGGAATCACTGCAATGAATATGCCTGAGTTCATATATTTGTTCTTAGGAACAGAATAGCTTCAGTCGGAGTCTGGACAATTTTACCGACTCCGACTCCGACTCCACAAGCCGAAATTTCCTCCGACTCCTCGACTCCGACTCCGACTCCGACTCCACAGCCCTGCTAAAGACAAAAAGTAATTGCAGACTTCAACAATTATAATCTTTACATTCTATTCTCCTGTACCATATAACTCATTTCCCATACTGAGATATGTTTTGACAACGCTAAAGCAATACTATAATAAGGATTAACATGTTTGTGTTACAGGGGCGCGGGTGAGAGTGACGGCACTATCTATGGAGACTATGACGAGGCAGCATGGCACGGTCAGGAGGGACACCTCTGCCCCACCAACTACCCGCTCTGTGCCTTCACCGCTCACCAGGTTATGGACGAGTACCGCAAATACGTCACGAACAACGAAACTTTTGTATAGACAACCGATAAATGTATAAAAAATATATGATTTGACGTTGATGAATACCATGAAATGTGATTAATTACATGGACAATAAAGCCTGTAATATACTATATGAAACACACAATTTCTATTACACCTCATTTTATGAAAACTATATTTTTTATATTGCTCGTTACACAATATATTATATTTTTCCCGGGTAATTATTGATGACTAACCTACCGCAGATTTTTCATAGAAAACACTTTTAAAATGCCACAATTTCACTGTGTTTTATAGTGGACACTCGTATTTTTGGCAAATGTGTTAAAAAGTGGTTATTTCTTTAAATTTAACCTAACCTTAGTTGATAAGAAAATAAGCAGCAGAAGCGTTCTTAAAGACCTCACCAATCACATCAAAGTAACCTACCTAACCTTACCTAACTTCCTAGCCACGAGGCTCCACCCTCAAGACCCTATATATTAAACAGAAAAAACTTACTGTACGGTATAATTTTTCTTGTGGACGTGAGAGCAGCCACCCAGTCCAAGCGGCTTATAACGTACACCGAGGCGCTAGACTAGCCGGAGTCTTGCGGCTAGAGCCCAGCTGTAGGCATTCATAGAAAACGGGAAATTTGTATCATAACAAATGGGAAATATCTACTTTCCGGGAAAGTTGGTTATCTACTTTCCCGAAAAGTAGA